AGAAGAAATTACTGAAGCCATTTCAAAAGCAAAATCCTGGAGTGATTATTAATAGTCTAGCATTTCTCACTTATTTTTATGGCTATGCTAATTCTAGTGGACAAAGAAAAGTACGTCTGATTTTCACAGAATTATGGAATTTTGGAGGTAGAAGGCATCTTGCTGATCACATGGTCACATTCCTTTTTTTTTAACAGGTGGGAAAAGATCAAGAGTAGCTAGGAAGTGGTCAAATTATGAGAACTCCTTTCTCCTTTATTATTGTATTGCCAAAATTTTATTTGTGAATACTTTGCAAACTTTTTGAAGGGTAGTTTCTTTTTTTTAAAACTCTTTGCTTATAGGATCTTACCAATCATGTATTGGGATACAATAATTGGAAATTTTTCAAATCTGCTTTCCTAAAGTTGAGAACCCATGTCTGTCTATATCCAGATCTTTTCCTCGGGTATTATGGTCACTTTCTTTGAAGGTTCTCATCACTTCTCCCTGGCTAAATTTTCCCATATTGGATAAACTCCAAATTGTAGATCCCTTGTTGCTTCTGTGAAAAAGAATATCAGAAGGGCAAGGGAAAAATTGATTATTTTACTTTTAGTGGAATAATATTGTCCCATGCCTTTAGTGAGTTTTGGTAAAGACTGGGATAGTTTGCTTTACCAAACATATTATAGCAGAATAGAAGATGAGAAATATTTCTTTTGTAATAAATATGCAATCAGTGTGGGATAGTAAAAAAGTGACAGATTTGTGTAAGGTTCTGGGTCTGAATTCTGACTCTGCTTCCCAATCTTGACTTCTTGTTGAACAAATTCAATTCTACGCTCTTCATTGTTCTTGAATCCTTTTCCCTGTTTCATTGGCAAACATGCCATACCTTGCATACCTCAGTCCTGGATAACTCCTACCATCTGTCTGTTTACCTCCTATTCACTATGCTGCTAATTACCTCCTCTATGTTGACGATTCTCAGATTTATCAACTTTGCTCTGTCTTCTATACTGACCTCTAGTATGATATCTCCAACAGCCTTTCATTCACCTCAAGTTGGATGTCCAGTAGACATTTTAAAATCAACATGTCTAAAACTGAACTCTTTATCTTTTTGCCTAAATCCTCCCTCTTCCTAACTTCCCTATTACTATTCCTTATTGCCACATCTCTTGAATTTGGTCCCTTCTCTTCTCTGACAATGCCCCACTTTGGTGCAGAACCTCATTACCTCACTCTTGGATTATTGCAATAGCCTGCTTGGGGTGCCTGCCTCAAGTCTCTCCATACAATCCATCCTCCACTGAGCAACCAAAGTGTGCTTTTCTTAAGGCTTTCCTCAGGCTTGGCCTCCTATCAAGAAACTCCAGTGGCCTTATTCCTTTCCAATGCTAACTCTTCTACTTGTTCAAGCAATTATATTCCATCCCATTTCCACTAACATATTCCCCCCTCTGTCATCCTCACTCTATTACTAATTTTCAACCTGTCCTTGTCTATTGGCTCATTCCCTATTTCCTATAAACATGGTCATAAAACTCCATCCCAAAAATAAAAACCCAAACCCTCACTTGATCCTTGCTTCTCTGCTATCATTTTTTATCTCTTCAACCCTTTATAGCTAAACTCAAAAAGGCTGTCTACAATAGGTACCTTTACTTTATCTCTTCTTATTCTTTCCTCAACCCCTTATACTCCAACTTCTCCTCTTTTGAAAGTTACCAACGATTTCTTAGTTACCAGTTCAATGGTCTTTTCTTTAGCCTCATTCTCCTTGACTTTTCTGCAGCTTTCGAAACTTTTTGTCTCTCTTCTCCATGATACCCTCTTCTCTTTATGTTTTCAGGATACCACTCCTGGTGTCTCCTGGTTCTCCTCATACCTATCTGACTGCTCCTTCTCAGTCTCCATTGCTGGACCTTCATCCATCAAACCCTCTTACCATAGGTGTCCCTCAGGGTTCGGCCCTAAGATCTCTTCTCTTCAACTTCTATACTACTTCATTGATGATATCATTAGCTCCCATGGATGTAATTATCACTTCTGTGCCAATGATTCTTAAGTCTACCTCCCTTGCTTCAACCTCTCTCTAGACCTCCAAGCTCATATCTCCACCTGCCTTTCAAACATTTCAAGTTGGGTGTCTAGTAGACATCTTGAACTAAACATGTCCCAAACAGAATTTATTATCTTTCCCCCTTAAGTCCTTCCCCAGCTCCTATCTTCCCTATTACTGTAGAGGGCTATACTATCCTTTCAGTCGCTCAGGCTTACAACCAAGGTATCATTCTAGACTCCTCACTATCTCCCCCCCATATCTAACCTGTTGCCAAGGCCTGTCAATCTCACCTCTGCAGCATCTCTCATATATATCCTCTTCTCTCCTCTGACATTGTCACCACTCTTTTGCCAACCCTCATCACTTTATGCCTAGACTATCAAAATAGCCTGCTGGTGGGTCTACCTGCCTCAAGTCTCTCCTCAATCCAATCCATCCTCTATCCAGTCACCAAAATGATTTCCCTGAAAGTGCATAATCTCAAACAAGATGTTCCATAGACTTCTTAAATTCAATATGTCAAAAAAGGAACTAATTATCTTTCCACCAAAATACTCTCTTTATCCCAACTTCCCTATTACTGATACTTAAAATTGAATTTTATTTTATTTTCAGTTCTGAATTGTCTTGCTCTCTCTTCCCTCTTTCTTCCCCATTCAGAAGACAGAAAAAAACAAAACTCATATATATATATATATTCAAGCAAAAAAAAATTTCTAGATAAGCAATGGCCATAAAGAAGAAAAAGAAAGAAAAGAAAATGTGCTCTAATCTGCATTCTGAGTCCTTAGTTTTCCATCTTGAAGAGGATAGCATGTAACAAGCATGGGTCCTTTGAATTTGTGGTAGATCAGAGTGTTGATCAGAGTTCCAAAGTTTTTCAAAGATACTTGTTTTTACAATATTGTTGGTATTGGAAAAATTATACTAGTGGTTGTGCTCACTTCCTTTTGTATTCATTCACACAAGTCTTCCCAGGTTTTTTGAAACCATCCACTTCATCATTTCTTACAGCCCAATAATATCTGTTCACTTTCATATACCATAACTTGTTCAGTCATTCCCCAGTGGATGGATACACTTCCCTATTACTGTTGATAGTACCACTATCCTCTCAATCCTCCAGGCCCTCATAGCCTCATGTCTGGGCTATTGCAATAGCTTGTAGGTAGGTCTCCCTGCTACGTCTCTTCCTCCTCCAGTCTATTCTCCACACATTAACCAAAGTAATCTACCTAAAGTGTAGGTATGCCCTTGTTACCCTGTCCTCCACCTCAACACTCAGCAATCTCCAGAGTTTCTTTATAACTTCCAGGATCAAATACAAAATCCTTTCTTTGGTACTTAAAACACTTTATAACTCTCCAATCTTTTAAACTTTCTAACTTTCCAGTTTTCTTATTCCTTCCACCCCCACCTCTGCCATTTACTTTGTGTTCCAGTGGCAGTGGCTTCCCTTTGGTTCCTTGCAGAAGACACTCCACCTGCCAAATCTGGGCATTTTCATTTGTTGTTATCCATGGTTAGAATTCTCTCCCTCCTCATCTCTGTCTCTGGCTTTCTTCAAATCCTAGCCAAATTTCCACTATCTACGGGAAGTCTTTTCTAATCTTCTTTAATGCTAATGCCTGTCCTTTGTTAATTATTTCCAATTTATCCTGTCTCCTTCATTTGACTCTGAGCTTCTTAACAGCAGGTACTATCTTTTGCCTTGCTTTGTATAGTGCTTAATAAAGTGCCTGGCACATAGTAGGTGCCTAATTAATATTTATTGACTGACTCATTTGTATTTTTGCATTTTGCTCCCCTTCATGAATTCTATGATCCAATCACACTGTCTTACTTGTCCTTCTACAATACAATCTATCTCCTATATCCTTGGCTTTTCACTGGCTATTTTCTGTGCCTGAAACATTCTTCATCCCAACCCTTGATTCTTATCCTCTCTAGTTCCCTTTGAAATTCATCTCATGCTATCTTCTTTAGGAGGACTCTCATGGTACCTCTAGTGCTAGCCTTTTGAAGGTTACCTTTCATTTGTTCTGAGGCAGCTCAGTAGCACAGTGCATAGGGTGTTGGATTTGGAGTCAGAAAGGCCTGAGTTTGAACCCTACTTCAGACATTGACAGTGTGACCCTAGGCCTGTCGCTTAACTTCTTTCAGCCCCAGTTTTCTCATCTATAAAATTGAGATAACAATAGTACCTACCTCCCAGGGTTGTTTTGAGGATAAAATAACCTATGTAAAGTACTTTGTAAGTCTTGAAGTCCTGTATAAACACTAGCTATTATTGTCATTGTTTTCCAAGACCTAATTCATATATGTTGCTTCCCCCATTAAAAGGTAAGCTTCTTCAGGGCAAGGTCTTTTTTTTTTTCCTTTTTCTTTGTATCCTGAGTGCATTAATGGTATTCCTTAGCACAGTGTCTAGCACATTGCAAGAGCATGACAAATACTTATTGACTTGGACAGGTAGCTTAACTTTTTTGGCATTAGTTAACTCATCAGCAAAATGAAACTTTTGACCTAAATGACATTAGATCCCTTCCAGTTCTAAATCTGTCATCCTAAATATAGTTATCTATCTATCTATCTATCTATCTATCTATCTATCTATCTATCTACCCATCTACCCATCATTGATTCTACTCTGTATCCATAATCTGTTCTTCTATTTATTTATTTATTTGTTTGACTCATTATCTTCCCATTAGTATTTAGCCTTTTGGAAAACTCCATTTTCATTTGGAGTTTTTATAGAACTGTAATTCATTGAAAATGACTATACTTGAAAAAATTATTTTTGTTCACTCTAGTGGAACATTATAGTTATGAGACTTGAAAATATGAGGGACATACACCTATGCCAATGGAGGGAATATTCACATTGATAAGATTACAGACTCTATGTGGTCTTATTGAATAACTCTCTATTGTTGTTCCTTTTCAGCCTTCTTTGAATATTATAGTGCTCTTGAACCACTGGAAAGTTAGGAATTATGGGGTGCACCGTGATGATATTGTGTCATTGTTGTAAATAAGAGTGAAACTTTTTTATTTTTTCTATTTTCTGTTATTCTATAATGAAAGATAATATTTTCTGATTTCCATGTGTAGTCCACCATTCATGAAAGTCAGTTATTAGCAACAAAGTAAATTATGCATCTTTAAATATGGTATGTATCTTTTAGTTAGCTTTTAGAAAGTAACAACTTTATTTACCTTTAATTTCTGGAAGAAATATTTATTTCCTTCATATCAAGAAGAATTCACACACTGAGATTTTTGCAGTTAATAGATGCATTATTGTAGTTAAAAGATGTATTATTAAATGGTGGCAATTCACATAATTAGAAATTTTACGGGAATAATACTTAATACAATTGATGACAAGCTTATGATTCATAATGTTTGATTTTTTCTCATCCATGCTTATAATAATACACACATATTAAATGCATAGTTTTTATCATATTTCCAGACAAATGTAACACGGAACTCTATGACACAATATATACATTAACTCACTTGTTTGAATCATGGGTTAATTAGAATCATAGGAGAAAAATAGCAATGCCTATGTGTGTGAAACCAAAAGGTGGCACTGTTTGTCTGTTGAAAACCTTTGAGATTTGTAGAGGACAAGAATCTCATTCCAGTTCTAATGTAAAAAGGGATTCCAGTTCTAATGTAAAAAGTACACATATCTGACACAGTGATATAACAAATATCATTGCAAATGCTTAGATAGTTTAAGTTCAAAGTTTTTCTTTTCAAAAATAAACTGCACAGTAGGTGGATTATAATAATACCTGCCTTATTTCTTTTGATTTGGGGGAATATGATTTAGTATACCTTCTTGTTAGGCCAGCATTTTTTTTTCTGAGGTGGAAATGTAGTAATGTTATTAACATTCTATATAGTAGCAATGGCAAAAAATGGTGAGATTTGCCTGTGTGTATGTGTGCAAGCCAGAAAACTGTTTGTCTTTCTGATTTTTGATCTAGAAATTTTAATGTTTTGTGATGATGTATAAATTATTTGTACAATAGGTTTCTGTTAATTACTTGCCCACACTGACGTAATTCTACAAGAACACATTTCCTCACAAGTTGTGCTTTTAATATTTATTTAAAAATATGTTAACTAGAACTGGTAGATTATTAATTGTAACATCAAAAAATGTTTGGGATTTTGAGTAGCAGAAACCCAGGGGTGGTTCTTTATGTGTTGGACTATTTCCTAATACCAGCTCCATCTGTAGAGGATATTTTTATTTCATCAGTCATAAATCTCCTTACAAGTCCTCAACATGTTGAGTTTCCCTGTCCAGGGCTCAGTGTCCTTTTGTCTTTTGTTTGGCAAGGTTACCTGCCTACTTGGTTGGGGATGGAATAGGTTATACAATGCTCATATACAACCATGGAATATTTCGTTCTCTTCTCTTTTCTTGAACAACATGTTGTCTACACCAAGCAAGAAGAGATATCTAAAATAAATTAATATTAGAGGAAAAATAGAAGTTGACACATATTTACTCTGTAGATCAATATAAAGAAAAGATAAATTTTAGGATGGATAAAATTAATGACTCCTAAAGTCTTCCTTTTTAAATTTGATTAATCTATATATCCCTATATGATATATTTTATGAATAAAGAATATCGAACCAAGGTTGTATTTAGCTTTACTTTTATTTCCTTAAGAGACTTTTTTTTAAATGAATGAACAATAGTAAGTTTTCTCCAACTTCACCTAACCTAATCTGGGAGCTTCCATAACTCTTATGGATCATTGCAGTTTATCTCTATCTTGGAATAGTATAAGCAATAACATATTTCTTTAATATACTTTTTCACTTTTTGTTTGTAGTTCTTTTGTATGTCTGTCTCCAGGAATGCTGATTTTAAACTTCTGTATGTGGAAAAGTCTTCTTTTGGTGTTGAATTAGAATGAGCTCTTGATTATTCAAAAATGATGTCTCTTTAAAACACTAACCAGGCCTTCTCATCTACATTTTTCATCAGCTTGCCGTTATATCACTGTGTCATCAGAGCCTTGTCATCAGAGTGTCTGCAAGGGCAAAATCAAAATAGGAACATCAAAATTAGTCATTTTGCTATTTGTCAGCAATAGTGGTAAGGGAAATGGTAGAAACAAAATATTACTATATAAATTGTGGACTACTTTCAGAATTTATCTATGCTTTCTGTGTCTCTCATCAGTCAATAAACTTTTATTAAGTAGCTGCTACGTGCCAGGCACTATGCTAAGCTCTGAGGATACAAAGAAAGGTGAAAGCTAGCCTCCACTGTCATTCCAGGTATGGGTGACAGCCAGTGAAAATGCTTGGAGTCAGGAGATGGTGTATCTTGTTTGAGAAATAGCAAGGAGGCAATTGTCACTAGATTGCAGAGTACATGGAGGAGAGGGGGTATAAGAGAGAGATAGTGGAAAGTACAACCCAAAGACATCATGCTAATATTAATATATATGAACATAGAATAATATTAGACAAACACATATGTGGTCAATGGATATCTACCCGAAATATTTCTTTGTTCTCACAGATTATAGTTAATTATGTGACTGGCCATCTTCAAATATGAAGCTTGACGCTGAGGAATGTAATAATCTGAAATACTACTTAGCAATAGAGTATTTTATTGCCTAATAATACCTAATTAGTGTGCTAATAAGTACTTATGTGTCAAAAATGATATATACAATACATTGGTATATTAATATATGCTCATAAACTAATATTAGACACAATATGGGCATTGGATATTTGTATGAAGTATTTCTTTGTTCTCACAGGTTATATTTAATTATGTGACTAACCATTTTCAAACATGAAGCTTGATGTTAATAAGATGAGAGTAATCTGAAATACTACTTAGCAATAGAGTTTGCATTACCTAATGAGTATTCTGAACTAAATATAAAATAGATTACCAAAAAATATTTTCTTAACAAGGCACTTAAGAGTCATAATTTAAAAATAGTTATTAAACAATGTTTATTTTCTTTCTTTGAAAGTGGAAGAAAAAATCTTTAAACTCTTGGAATTTTGGGTTGTTGTTCAGTGGTTTCAGTTTTTATTTGACTCTTCATGACCCCATTTCGGGTTTTCTTGGCATTGAAATTATTTATTGTTTTTTTCCTATGATGGTATACTTAAGATACCAGAACCTCATTTGACTTTAAAATGTTATATGGAAAAATATTATTTAGAATAAATACCTATCTGCTTATACAAGTGATATGAACTTTTCAGTTTGATGAAAAGGTGGAAATTGGATTGTACTGGTAACGTACTTTGAATTAAGAATTGGGAAATAACTGAGTGTATTTCTTTTACTACATATATTAGTATGGCTAATGGTTCTCAGTAAATCAGGAATTTTATAGCTAAGATATACATTGACTTATAGAAATGTGATTTGATTATGAAACTTAAAGAGATAAACATGCATATAAATTTAGCTTGCTGTTTTCTCAAATGTATAAATGAGTAGCTAAAGATTCATTTTCAAATTAAAGTATTATATAACAGAGATTTGAGTGTTTACATTAAAAATTATATAGCCTTTGAAAATAATACATAATATTGATACCATTTTATACAATGGAGGTTATCAAAACAGCATACTTTTGGTGTGTGTATGTGTGTGTGTGTATGTGTGTGTATGTGTGCGTATGTGTGTGTGTGTGTGTGTGCATGTGTGTGTATACCAGGTAAAAATGTATGGGACAGAAAAATCTCTTCATATGTAGTTTCTTCTCCTCTGAGAGAGAAGGGAGGTGGAACTCTCTTGGTGTGATCTTCCTCTTCTTCAGCCTGTTTCTCACTAGATTTTTCTCTGTTTTTGTGGCAGCAACTTAGAATAAAAATACCAAGCATTTGGCCAGTATAATGATGGGCAGTTTATTCTGGAAGCTGAAATATTAACATTTATACTTTGTCACCTCCTACAAGAAACATATTGAACTTTTTTTCCCCACTAATAAAAACATGAAAATAGTACTTTTGCTTAAAGTATCTCAGGAATGATATCAATAGTCAGCCAAAGTGTAATTTGTAATTAAATAGTAAATGTTATTGATTGCCTACAGTAGCACAGCTAGATGGCGCAGTGAATGGAGCACGAGGTTTGGAATCAAGAAGACTTATCTTTATGAGTTCAAGTCTGGCCTCAGACACCTACCAGCTGTGTGACCCTGTGCAAGTCACTTACCTGTGTTTGCCTCAGTTTTTCATGTGTAAAATTAACTGGAGAAGGAAATCTCAAATACTTCATTATCTTTGCCAAGAAAACCCCAAATAAGGTCACAAAGAGTCAGACATGACTGAAAAATGACTGAAAACAATTGGCACAATCCTGAATTAGTGGATTTGTATACAACACTAAACAATGATAGTATGAATGTACTACTTGTGATAATGATTTTTAAAATTATCATGAGTGATATTCATATTATAATGGACAAGAGAAGGTAGAATGATACTTTTATTAACAAACTGTTCCCCACAGTGCCTCCCACAGTGTTTTCCATGCGTAAGTCAAAATCATACAGCATTCATTGAAAGATACAATAATAGAGATAACTTTGATAGCTCTGATTATTAAGTGAATTATAAAACAGGAAAACACATGCTTTCTCACAAGTGTTTATCAGCATCATTGATGGTGATTAGTGCAGAGTCCAAATGGAAGAAGGATTCCCTAAAGATGATGATGGAACTCTGGGTGCTCCCTTTTGCCTTTGACATTGCACCGGTTGCATCAAGCCCTAAAACATTGCAAAGCCTCCAGAATTAGGTCCACAGTCAATCACAGAAGAATGGATTAATTATCCATAGAGGAAAAACCAAGAGTGAATTGTCGAGACTATGATACTCATTTGGACATGTGATTCATATAATGCATTCCATTCCCATGTTACCAATGGGTAACAGTAAGAGATACTTGATGGACAGTACATGCGCTTTCTTTATATATGTAGATATATATGTATGTGTGTGTGTGTATG